GTCTGGTTAATAAATTTTGTGTATTTCCTTTTAAAGTTTTGTTCTATGCCTTCATTTATTAACTCAGTTAAAAATATAACATTCAGCCCTGGCTGGTGTGGCTCAATGGACTGAGCGCCAGCTTGCAAACCAAAGAGTCACCAGTTCAATTCTCAGTCAGGGCACATGCCTGGGTTGCAGGCCAGTTCCCCAGCAGGGGCGCATGAAATGCAACCACACGTTGCTGTTTCCCTTTCTCCCTCCCTTCCACTCTCTAAAAATAAATAAAATCTTTTAAAAAAAGTAACATTCATTCCCTCATTGTTATACAGTTAGACTTTTTATAAAATTTATAGTTTTAAACAGCCATATAGAATATTTTTGTACACATTTTTTTCATGTCTTGAAATTACAGTATATATGAGATACACAAATGATAGTGTACTTAGGAAACGATTTTCCATCATATTTCCTATGGCTGTCTGTGAAGTAATGGAATCAGTAATTTTATTGGATCATATTGTTATATTGCTCTGCAAAAGAATAGGATTATGGTGCCATTGACAGTATATGAAAATAAATATACACTGCACTCTGAACATTAGGGATTATGTTTTAAGGAAAGCTATACTAATAATTTAGTAGGCAGAAATGCCTCTTACTTGTGGTTTTTATATTCATATTACTTTGACTATAAGTGAGGCTAAATTTTTTCTTATATATTTGTTTCATGTAATTTCTTTAAAAAGATGTTACTTATTTTTAGAGGGAAAAGGAGGGAGAGAAACATTGATTGGTTGTCTATCATCAGCTCATTTACTTTTCTTTAATTAAAAAATACTAAATAAGCCCTGACTGGTCTGGCTTAGTGGATTGAGCACTGCACTGCGAAGCAAAGGGTCACCAGTTCGATTCCCAGTCAGGGCACATCCTGGGTTGCGGGCCAAGTCTCCAGTAGGGGACGTGTGAGAAGCAACCACACATTGATCTTTATCTCCTTCTCTTTCTCCCTTCCTTCCCCTCTCTCTAAAAGTAAAAATTACTGAAAATCTATTATTAAAAAAATATTAAATAAAACATTTTCTTTGGCCCTGACTGGTGTGACTGAGCTGGTTGGGTGTTGTCCAGCAAAGTGAAAGGTTGCAGGTTTGATTCTCGGTCAGGGTACATGCCTGTGTTGTGGTTCAGTCCCTGGTCTGGGTGCAAAGGAGAAGCAACTGATTGATGTCTCTTTCTCACATTGATGTTTTTCTCCCCTCCCCCCCTTTCCCCTCTCTCTAATAAAATCTTAAAAAAAAAACTTACGTTGAAGAAGTTTTATTTTATGTATAAAACACTCAACAGTGTACACATAGCCTAGCTCTGTGGCCAGTTCTTTAGCCTTTGCCTTTGCCAGCTTGGCAGTGCAAGCCATGGACTTTGGATCTAGGACACTGCCTCCCCAGTGGCAACAGATCTCATCTTATCTGTCTTAGTTGGTATAGATAGCTTCCACCAGCTTGGCCTGAGCTGCTTTGTCTTCTGAGTTAACCTGTGTGAAGAGGACAGTGGTACAGGTCTTCCTGTGGACTAGACTCCCCAGCCTGGCTTTCCGCTTGATGATGTAATAGGGAACCCCCATCTTATGGCACAGGGCAGGCAGGAAGATGACCACCAGGTTGCTGGGATCAGCATCACTAGCAGCTGGGCCTTCTTCTCCACTATGGTGGTGACAGTGTTAACCCCTGCTTGAAGAACAGGTGGCCTTTTGGTGGGGACATCTCATTTGTTAGCAGCCTTTTTCTTCAGCCTTTGTCTTTGGTTTGTACTTACGGCCCAACTTAAGCAGTTTAGTAGCTGTTTCACAGTGCAAGGGCTGGATGAACTGGTTAATAGCAGATACTTTAAGATGCTTATAAGAGGATAGCGCTTTGCTGCTGCAGCTGAATGTAGTGGGGTCATTTGACAAAGTGAGTGAGGTCTCTTTTGGGCTGGATATCCTGTCCAGTGCCAGAGTTCCTGGGCCTCTTCTCAAACAGGATTCACCACCTTTTTATACACCTGCTTTTTCATGACAGCAGGGGTTGGTGCCACCTTCTCAGCCTTACTTCCGTTTAGCATCTTGGGCTGCAGGATAACTGAGAAATAAAGAAAATTTTTGAATTGTATATTCTAAGGTTTGTCTTTTATAGAAGTTGTAAATTTTTTACATTTGCCTATTTTTGTTTTTAGTTTTTGCATGAAATTGTTTTTAAACATTTTGAATTCATATTTGTGACCAGTAAGTTTTAAGGGTCTAATATGAATTTTTCTTCCGCAATTGTTAAACAGTTCTTACATCTAATCATTCTGAAGAGTAATCAGTCACTGACTGTGTGGTCTTTATTAGATTTAGTTATACTTTTAAACTAAACTATACATTTCTTTCCCACAAGGTATATCATACAACTAGTAGTGTTTCCATCTGTGAAGAAAGTAGAATTTAGAACCAAATTATTGCCTGCCTTTAGCAAGTGTGCTTCTGTTTTGGCTCCTTCATTTATCTATCATATATTTTTTAAGTTACCATGTATGGAGACTGTGATAGATGTTAGGGCTATAGCCATGAAATAGAGTTTATAATCTACCAGAGTAGATAAACATAATTGCATAAATAATTAATTGTGATTCCAATATAAGACAAGAAAGAAAGTATAGGTAATTCATAATATGACACCTAACTGAATGTAGGGATTCAAGGAAACCTTTTCTGAAGAAGGGACTTTAAGCAAGGACCTGAGAGATGAATAAGAAATCCACTGCAAAAGAGGTTCAGGGTGAAGGACAGTATTTCAGGTAGAGTAAAAACAACACATTTAGGTTTATGAGGCAGGAATGAGCTCTGGAGTATTTACAGAACTGAAAGAAGAAAAATCAGTATTGCCCTGATAGTGAGATGTTGAGAAGAAAGGAGGTTGTAGAGGAAAGTAGGGGGTAAGTAGTGTAGGGAAACGATTAAAGAGGTGCTAAGTGGGGAAGAGAGATCTTTGGACTTGTGTTTTTGAAGTTCATGCTGTAAATTGGTGGAGGTTAGGTAAGAGTGAATATTGGGAGATAATTTAGTAGAAGGTCACTGAAGTGGTCCTAATGAAAGTTGATATTGTCTTGCAGTTCGCTAATACTAATGTAATAGATGTAGTAAATCTTGTGAGTATTTAGGAGGAAGAATGGGCAAAGTGTGGTGATTGATTAAATGTGAGGTTAGGAAGCAGGGTAAAGCTGCCAAAAGATGATGTCTAGGTATGGGCAATATATAGTTAAGGGTATCATTACTAAGATAGAGAAAGCTTCAGGAAGAGTAAGTGTTGCCATACATTTTGGTCAGAGTATAAAGTACCTATGTATCATAGGAAGTTTTACATATGGATCCAAGGACGAATCTAAACAGGAGATAAAATTTGGGACTCACTGTCCCAAATGAGAAGGCATCTTAAGTCAGAGCCCTGAGAAACTAACTACCACATTTAAAGGTTAGATAAAGTTACCAGAAAGGTGCTGCCAAAGAGGTAAGAGGAAAATCAGGAGAGTGAAATACTGCATGACAAGAAATAATAGCATCTCATGGCTTATGTTTTATGTACTTATTCACTATTTTATCTTCATTTCCTGCTTTCATTTTCCTTTGTAATTTATTTGTTACTACATTATACAAAGTCTGTCTGGAAAAAGTCCAGCCATTGTTAATATAATGAGAAAGGTTTGCACGACATTGATGTAACCTGGCAGCCAAGGAGAGTAGACTGGAATGCATGTTCATGAACAATAATGATTTCACTCTACTAGTCAGTGGGAGCCGTAGACACCAGTAGAGTGAACATGTGTACTGTGTGGCTGTTGCATTTAAAATGTCTGAGCGAGTAGAGCAACGAATTGGCATCAGATTTTGGGTTAAGCTAGAACATTCCTCTGTGGAAAGTATTCGGATGATTCAGGAGGCTTTTGGGGATGAAGCAATTAGTGCAGCACAAATAAAAGTGTGGCACAAATGCTTCAAAGATGGTTGAGAATCTGTTGAAAGTGGTCCATGTTCTGGAAGGCCTGCAACAAGCAGAACACCTGAGAACAGAGAACGTGTTTGGGCTGCAATCAACAGAGATCAGCGACTGACAGTGCAAGAATTAGAAACTCATCTGGGGGTTCCAAAAACTACTGTGTTCAAGATTTTAACTCAGGATCTTGGCTTGAAATGTGTCATGGCAAAATTTGTTCCACAGTAGCAGAAGGTGGCAGAAGGCTGGATACTTCTTGGACAGATATCATATGCCACACAAGCCCTTTGGATAGCAAGATAAGGTACACAAGTAATTAATAGGGTGATCTCCAGGAACATATTCTTCATATAAGACAATGCCATTGAAACTTACTCTTTATTATTTTTATAATTATATCTGTCTTGTCAATAGTGAAAAGAGATGTTAGTACTGGCTCTATGTTTATTTCTGGTTTTAAATTGGGAAGTGGTAGGGAATAGGATCCGCAATAACTTGAGTACCACTGCGTGTGAATGATAAGAGTAATTGGAATAATTAGAGCAGTTCCTTCCTTCCAGAAGGCAGGTCAGTACCTGTGAGACCATGCCTTCCCATTTAAATCAAAATTTTAAATTTTTGAGTTTTGCTTTTCATTTCAGGACAAACCACATCTGACTGGCTAGAATAACCCTACCTGGTCATAGGTAGAAAGTTAAAGAGATAGAGGCAAATATTAAAAAAAGCTGTGCCCCAATCCTATGTTGAGTAAATCTTTTTGTTTTTATTTAATGTTAAAAAATCTTGGCAGTAATTTAAAAGTGAAGCAGAATTTACTTTTTAATATTTATGTGGTGCTCTGAGGAAGATCTCATGTTAAGGTGAATTTGTGAAGAATGTTCTGAAATGTTACTCTTTGCAGCAACTAATACAAATGCTACTCCTACCTTCTTAATAGTTTTGAAGTTACAAGGAAGATGTTATACTCTTGTAATCTGAAAAATCTTTATTTCCTGTTGTTTTTTTTTTTAATAGAGATGTGAACTGTGTCCTCATAAGGATGGAGCTTTAAAAAGAACAGATAATGGGGGTAAGTTCAGAGATTTAAAGAAATTTTTTTATTGGATCCTGGAGTGGGAAAGTATTGTAAGATGTTTGGTAGTTCATATTATATAAAATTAAATAGTGTTTACTGCTCAGATATTTTTAATAGAAGTAGATATAATTTACGATTTTTTAAATTGAAACAAGAGTTCTTCTATTTTGTGGACAGAATTAAGCATTGTTTTTTCTTAATGCATGGTGGTCCACATACTTTTAATTAAAATCTTGATTTTTTTTTTACGGTTTCTTACAGAAAATTTTTTTGAAAAAAAAAAGCCACTTTTGAAAAAAGATTTTATGTATTTTTAGAGAGAGGGGAGGGGAGGGATAAAGAGAGAAGAGAAACACTGATCTATTGCCTTTTGCTTGCGTCCCAACTGGGGACCAGCCCCGGGCAGGAATTGAACCGGTGACGTTTCTCTTTGCAGGACAATGCCTACCCTAACCATACCTGTCAGCAAAATAAGCCACTTTTCTCTCTCCCTCTCTCAGTTAAAATCTGTGGTTTTAAGGATCTTTTTTTCCTTTTTTGTGTATTGCTGGACAGATGATGTTTCTATCGAATGTTAATTTTAACACCCTTGTCTTTTTGCTAGATGAAAAAGAAATGCTGATATCTATCTCTACATTTTTTGTGCTTTCCTGAGGACTCTTGTGTGTTTCCCATTTTCATCTCTATTTTTAGTTATCCCCCACAGAGAAATCTAGGAAATCTATATTTCTTTATAGTTCAGTACCATCAATTTATTAAACTGTGGCATACTGTGAAAATTAAGGAGCTGATGAAGAAACTCAAAAAATTAGAAGTATAAGTGCTTTTAGTATACACTTCCATTTTGGGTGGCCGATTGCCAACTCTAAAGTATTTTTGACATAGACTACAGTAATGGTATTAGTAAAGAAAAGGGAAAAATACAATGTTTTTGTCTATATATATTTTAACTTAATGTTTAGACTATGTTATACAGTGACATCATCCAGAATTTTAAAAACTATTAACAAGTCTGTCTCCTACTCTTGTTCACCATTTGCCAAGTTCCTTAACAACTTTCCTGCCACAAATATAATCGCTGTTAATTACATTTTTGCCTATCCTTCTAGGTCATTTGACATATACAAATATGTGTTAATAGACAAATATTTTCTCCAATTTTTAATCTTTTTGAAAATAACCCTCACTTGAGGACATGTTTGTTGACTTTAGGGAGAGAGCGGGAGAGAAACATAGATGGAGGAGAGAAACACCATGTAGTTACCTCTTGTATGTGCCTCACAAGGGACCAAACTGGCAACCTAGGAATGTGCCTTGACTGGGAATCGAACCCGCGACCTTTTGGTTTCTAGGATGATGCCCAGCCAACTGAGCTACACTGGCCAGAGGTTCTTCAGTTTTTGTATTGGATGAATATTATATGTACTCTGTGTCTTATTTTTTTTTCACATGGCAATTTATGTTTTTTATTAGTATCGAGCTTTCTTTTTACCATATTGATGTAACCAGACACCTATTATTGATGGACCTTCTAATCATCTGCTTTTATGACTAATGCTTTTATGTATTCCATTTCATGGGTCTGCAAGTACAGCTGCAGGATTATTAATTCCTAGAAGTGGATCTGGTAGGTCAAAGGGATTTTGCAGTTAATTTTTGGTAAATATTCCCAAATTATTCTTACTAGTGGTTGTACCAAATTATGTTCCCAGCAAGAATGAACAGAAAAAGATATTCTCTATTCCCTTGGAAATCCAGTAGGTAGAAATTGGCGTATCTGAGCAGTTAATTTGTATTTTTCTTATTTGTAAGTGAAGCTGTGCCTCTTTTCATATGTGAAAGAGGAATTTGCATTTTCCCTCTTGTGGTCTGTTCATATGCTTTTTTCTGATTGGTTGGTGATCTTTTTCTTCTTGGAACTTTCATAGAAGCTCATCATATATTATTAAGCTTTTGTTGATAGGAGTTGAACTAGTTTTTGCTCATTGTCTTTCCTTAAGAACCTTTTTTATTACACACAAGTTTTCATTTGTTTTTCTTTAATTTATTGATCTCATTTTTTGTGGCTTCTGTATTTCCAGCTATTAGTTGGAAAGGTCTTCCCTACAAGAAGTTTATAAAAAGTTCTTTCATGTTTTTCTCTAATATTTTTTATTTCCTTTTATTTTTTTATTTTTTAAAAGATTTTATTTATTTATTTTTAGAGAGGGGGAGGGAGGGAGAAAGAGACAGAGGGAAACCTCAGTGTGTGGTTGCCTCTCATGCACCCCCTACCAGGCACCTGACCCACAACCCAAACATGTGCCCTGACCAGGAATCGAACCTGCGACCCTTTCATTCACAGGACAGCACTCAGTCTCCTGAGCCATACCAGCCAGGGCTGATTTCCTTTTATTTTAATGGTTTAATCTTTATTAATTTTAGAGGAGAGAGGAAGATAGAGAGACAGTCACTCACTGACTCTTGTATGTGCCCTGACCGAGGATCAAACCTGCAACCTTGGCTTATCAGGACAACACTCTAACCAACTGAGCTACTGGCCAGGGTTTAATGGTTTAATCTTTTATGCATTTGGAATGTACTTGGGTAAAACAATGTGAGGTGAATGGATCCAAGTTCATTTTTTCCCTAGATGACAAAATGCTACAATTTGTCCCATCTCTATTTATTGAATAACTCATCTTTTCATCACTGATTTGAAATGCTATCTTTGTTATAGTCTAAAGTATATTTAAAATATTCTGACGAAATTGTGTTCCAAAATTGATTTGTAGGTTATTTTGGAACTTGGAATGCATTTTCTTAAAGAAGTGTGAACCCTTGGGTTGGTAAAAAGGTTCATTTAGTTTTTTCTGTACAATGGCTCTTGCAGTGCTTAGTTGTCTTCATTTGAAACAATTTTGGTAGTCCTGGCTGGTGTGGCGCAGTGGATTGAATGCCAGCCTGTGAACCTGACTGTTGCTAGTTTGACTACAAGTCAGGGTACATACCTGGGTTGAGGGCCAGGCCCCTGGCTCAGGGCATTTGAGAGGCAATGGATTGATGTTTCTCTCCCTCTCTTTCTCCTTCCCCTCCCCCTCTCTAAAAGTTAAATAAATAAAAGAGAAACAATTTTGTTAGATTGTATTGTGACAGTTGTCATATCAATGAACATTTAAAAAACAACTTACCAAAATAGGTAAATTTTTGTGCAGCCATTTTATATTTAAGATGGAAGAAAATACACAACATTTTTGGTGCATTATACCTTGTTATTTCAAGAAAGGGAAAAGTACAACTGAAATGCAAAAATGATTTGTGCACTGTGTGGAAAAGGTGCTGTGACTGATAGAATGTCTCAAGTGGTTTGTGAAGTTTCTTGGTACTATTGACATTTTGGCCAAATAATTCTTTGCTGTGGGGCTGTCTTATGCATTGGAAGATATTTAGCAGCACCCCGGGCCTCTACCCATTAGAAAGAAGTCAATAGTGGGAGACAGCCAACATACTCAAAATATCCCAATCTGTAAAGTTATTGGTGAACATGAAAAATGTGTCTTTTATTTCACAGTGAAAACTAAATGGACTTTTTGGCCTATCCAGTCTTTTTTCAGAGTAATTAATAAAGCCCTTCAATATAGTTGATGTACAATATTGATAATAATTTTTTTAGTATCTATGTAACCTTTTATCATGCTTGGAGATACGTTCCAAGTTTTAGTGTAGTTTTTCTTTTCATGGCAGTCAGAATTAGGAGTTTTTCAATTTAACTTTTAATTTCCCTCTCTTCCTTTTTTGTTTCATACTGAAGACTCCTCTTATTGATTGTGGGGAGCCATTGAAGCTGAGGAATGAGGTTTCTATTTAGAAAGATCACTCTGACAGCATTCAGGTGAATGGATTGGAGGGCTATGAAACCAGACCAACTATTAAAATAAAAATAGAGCTGGATCATAAGGGCATTTAACATACTTTAAATCACCTGAAGTATATGTCTGGGTGAATGGGAGTAGTGGGATAGAGAAAACATAATAATTTAAATTACAGGGATTAATTTAGTTTGCCATTTTACTCACTGAGCATATGCTCTAAGCAAACCTATATGGAGATCCTTTGTGAACAATTCTAAGGCTTTCTTCTTTGAGAAAGATATAAAATGTATTACTGAGGGGGCCAGGCAAGAGGTGGTGTGATGGCTTGCTTATATCTATTTTAAAAATATATTTTATCGATTATGCTGTTACAGTTGTCCCAATTGTTCCCCCTTTGCCCCACTCCGCCCAGTATACCCATTCTCTCCAGGAATCTCCCCCACCCTTGTTCATGTCCATGGCTCATGCATGTAAGTTCTTTGACTTCTCCATTTCCTATACTGTTCTTAACATCCTCTTGTCTATTCTCTATCTACGAGTTTGTACTTCTTAATTCCTGCATCTTTTCACCCATTCTTTCCCTTATCCTTCCCAACTGATAACCCTCCAAATGATCTTCATATCTATGATTCTGTTCCTGTTCTGCTTGATTGCTTAGTTTGTTTGTTTTTTATTCAGTTATGGATAGGTGTGAATTTATGGCCATTTTAATGTTCATTGTTTATCTTTTTCTTATATAGTTCTCTTTAACATTTCACATAATAATATCTTGGTGATGATGAACTCCTTTAGCTTTACCTCATCTGGGAAGCACTTTATCTACCCTTCCATTCTAAATATAGTTTTGCTAGATAGAGTATTCTGGGTTGTAGGTCCTTGCTTTTCATGACTTTGAATACTTCTTGCCAGTCCCTTCTAGCCTGCAAAGTTTCTTTTGAGAAATCAGTGGACAGTCTTATGGGAACTCCTTTGTAGGTAACTCTCTGCTTTTATCTTGCTGCTCTTAAGATTTTTTGTTTATCTTTAACCTTTGGCATTTTAATTATGATGTGTGTTGGTGTGGTCCTCTTTGTGTCCATATTGTTTGGTACTGTCTGTGCTTCCTCGACTTGTATGTCTATTTCCTTCAAATTAGGGAAGTTT